TATATATAAAATATAGTTTATAACTACTCTATAAGCTTTCCTCATAACTACTATTTCTTCTTTTATTTTTTAAAATTATTAATTTAATAATATATCCTTATTATTATTAAAAAAATATAATTAAACCAAATAAACATTACTACCAATACTCTACAAAAATTAATTAATAATTTTACCAGATTAGTTTTAAATTATATTATAAATATTCTATTCTCCCCTAAAAATAAATATTCTTTTTATTAAAACCATAATAATATCAATATCTACTCAATTAGAAAATAATTAACAGATTACTCTATATAAAAAAATAAAAAAAAATTATTAAAATAAATAATAATAATAAATCAACTAAATAGAATATAACATAAAGACTTTTCATTAATCTTTTTAAACTATAAAAATTCTACAATTTATAATTATACACAGGTTAACATCAACCCGAAATAGCCCCACAAAGACTACTCACATGCCCTCGCCAGTTCTTACACGGATTAACCGTAACAGAATCTAGTAACATTCCTTCTTATCCTCCCTTTAAGAAAATTATATTTTCAAAAACTATAACTCTCTAAATTAAAAAAAAAGGGAATTAAAAATTCAAAATTCAAAAAGAAATCTTAGAATAATTTCTTTTTTAAAGATTTCTTTATGACTAAACAATTCTATAAAGAATTTATAGATAAACTTATAGTTAAATAATATATTAATAATTACTTTTAATTTAAAAATACTATATATTCAAAGATAGAAGTATATAAACAAGGGTATTTACTTTAAAGGAATGACTTAAATATAATAGCTGTTATATTAAAGGGATTAAGCGAATGCGAATGAGACTAGCTCATTTAGTAGTACCTGTATAAGGCCTACTACTTTCCTATATAGCTAGCTCTTTAGATAGAATACAATTAGACATTTAGAATCTACGAGTATATAAGTACTACGTCTTTCGTATTCTTCTGGAATCAATAAGATATAATAGTAGTTTTATCTATTTAAATATTAACTCTCAAATTATTTAACTCTAAATATTAATATAGATTATTTTAAATTCAATGTCGAGGAATTACTATTCAATTTAATTATAGTTAAAAATGATGTTCAGTGAGTGCTTGTTAATTTTAATTAAACGTTTTCAAAAAAAAAATTCTAAGAGATTTCTCATAAATAAATTATTTCCAAAGGATTTCAAAAAGAAATTATTAATAAGAGATTTCTCATAAATAGATTATTTCTAAAGGATTTGAAAAATTGATCATTTATAAAAGATTCTATATAAAGGTATTATTTCTAAAGGATTTTTTATAAATGAATTATTTCTAAAGAACATTTTTAAAAATAAATTATTTATAAAGTATTTAAAAAATAAAATATTTATATCAAAACTGAAAAAATATTTTTTCTAAACGATTTAAAAAATAAACTTTTTATAATAGATTTCTTATAAATAAATTACATATAAAAGATTTGAAGAACAAATTGTTTCTAAAGAATTTGAAAAACAATCTTTATATAAAAGATTTCTTATAAATAAATTATTTATAAGAGATTTAAAAAATTCAATTATTTCCAAATGATTTTTTATAAACAAATTATTTCTAAAGGATTCAAAAAATAAATTATTTATAAAAGATTTTTTATAAATTATTTATTTCTAAAGGATTTTTTATAAATAAAATATTTCTAAAGGATTTTTTATAAATAAAATATTTCTAAAGGATTTTTTATAAATAAAATATTTCTAAAAGATATAGAAAAGTTATTTCCAAAAGATTTCTTATAAATAGATTATTTCTAAAGGATTTAAAAAAAAATTATTTATAAAAGGTTTTTTAAAAATAAATTACTTTTAAAAAAAATTAAAGAATAAGTTATTTATAAAAGATTCTTTATAAGTAAATTATTTCCAAACGAAATCAAAAAAAAATTATTTATAAGATTTTTTTTAAATAAATTATTTTTAAAAGTTTTTAAAAAAAACTATTAATAAAAGATTCCTTATTAAAAATTTATTTATTAAAGATTTTTATAAAGAAATCATTTATAAAGTATTTTTAAAAATAAAATTTTTCTAAAAAATTTAAAAAATGAATTATTTTTAAAAATTTGAAAAATAAATTATTTATAAAAGATTCCTTATAAATATATTATCTTTAAAAAAATTAAAAATTAAATTATTTCTAAATAAATTTGAAAACAATCTTTTTATAAATTTTTTATTATAAAATCTTTTCTAAAAATATTTAAAAGCTTTTTTTTTTAAACTAAATAGTTTAAAAGATTAAAAAACAGAATTGAAAGTTTTATCTTATTTTTATATATATAATAGGATAGGATAGAATAGAAAGAACTAGTATCATTTTATAATATTATTCTTCTATTTAAGATATAATCTTTATATTGTTATTTAATTAAAAGATTTTAGAAATATAACATCTCAAGTATTTAGATAGGATTTATATATACTAATCTTTAAACTAATGAAAATTTATAAATTATAAATAAGCTCTTTATCTAATTTTATTTATAACCTAGGGTAATTATATTTAATATTATATAATCCTTTTTGGGAATATTCCGAAGCTTTATTATTAAGCTAAATAGCCTAAAAGATTAATAAATAGAACCATCAGTGGGTGTACGGACTCACGGGACAGCATGACAGGAAAGTACAATTTCATATCAAAAAGAGCTATTTTAATAATTTGAATAAAATTCAACATATTATTAAATTCTTTCGAAATTGAATTATATCATTTTCCGAATATCAAATAATCTTTTTTTTTTGAAAATTATTTAAAAGAGATACGATTTAAATTCAAAATACAAATAGTATACTTTTCTATTAAAATTTTTGATAGAAAATTATATATTCTATTATTCAGATTTCAATTTTAATTCTTTTGATTTGAAAGTTTTTCTGTTAAAAGCCTTTATATTTGAAAACTCTTTGATGAAATTTCAAATAAATTTAGTTATAATTCTAATTTTAATCGAATTATTAAAATCACTCTTTTTGATATGAAATTGTACTTTCCCTTTTGAGTGTTCCGTGAGTCCGTACAACCACTAGTGAACTAAAAGTTCTACTTTATTATTATATATATAGTAGGACAGAACAGAATATAAAGAGCTAGTATTACCTTGTAGCAATTTTCTTCATAAACATATTATTTCTAAAAGATTTAAAAAATAAAGTATTTGTAAGAGATTTCTTATAAATAATTTATTTATAAGAGATTTAAAAAATAAATCATTTATAAAAGATTTGGAAAATGAATTCTTTCTGAAAGATTCTTTATAAATAAATTTTTTTTAAAGAATCAATTATAAATAAATTTTTTCTAAAAGTTTTTAAAAATAAATTATTTCTAAAGAATTCCTTATAATTTAATTTTTTCTAGAGGATTGCTTATAAATAAATCATTTACAAGATTTCCTTTTTATACAAATTATTTTGAAAAGATTTATTATAAATAAAATATTTCTAAAGGATTTTAAAAATAAATTGTTTATAAAAAACTTCTTTTAAATCAATAATTTATCAAGAATTCAAGAAATAAAGTATTTATAAAGAATTCGAAAAATAAAATATTGATAAGAGATTCCTTAAAAATAAATTAATTATAAGATTTCCTTTTTGTATAAATTATTTTTAAAAGATTCTTAATAAATAAATTATTTGTAAAGAATTATAAAAAAATATTTAAAGAATTCTTAAAGAAAAAAGATTATTTATAAGAAATAATTTAAAAAGAAATAAATATTAAACGTTTTCGAAATAACCCATTTATAAGAAATAATTTCTTGAGAATTTTAAAAAGAAATTATTTCTAAGAGATTTCTTATAAATAAATTGTTTCTAAAGTATTTCAAAAAGAAATTATTAATAAGAGATTTCTTATAAATAGGTTATTGCTAAAGAATTTGAGAAATTAATTATTTATAAGAGATTCCTCATGAATAAATTATTTCTAAAGAGTTTTTTATAAATAAATTGTTTATAAAAGATTTCTCATAAATAGATCATTTATGAGTAGTATTTATATAAGATTCCTTGTAAATAAATTATTAATAAGAGATTTGAAAAATGAATTATTTATAAAAGATTTCTTATAAATAAATTATTTCTAAAGGATTTGAAAAATATTTTTTTTTTAAAAGATTTTTTATAAATAAATTATTTATAAGAGATTTGAAAAATAAGTTCTTTATAAAAGATTCTTTATAGATAAATTATTATTAAAGGATTTCTTAAAAACAAATTTTTTCTAAAGGGTTTAAAAAATAATCTTTTTATAAAAGATTTCTTATAAATAAATTATTTCTAAAGGATTTGAAAAATAATCTTTTTATAAGATTTTCTTTATAAATATATTTTTTCTTAAGAATTTCAATAATAAAGTTTTTCTTTAAGCTTCTTTAAAAATAAACTATTTATAAAAGATTCTTTATAAATGAATTCTTTCTGAAGGATTTTAAAAATGAAATGTTTCTAAGAGAAATGTTGGTTTGAGAGAGATACGGAAGACGTGGTTCCCACTATGTGTAGGCCCCTAAATGTCTATTTGTATTCAATCTAAGGAGCTAGCTAAATGAGGGGAATAGTAGGCCTTATATAGGCACTACTGAAAGAGCTAGTCTCCTTCGCTTTCGCCTAAATACCTTTAATACAGTTGCCATTGTATGGAAGTCATTCCTTTGAAGTGAATTCCTTTGAGTGAATTCCCTTGTCCATACAAGAAATTTAATATATATTATAAGTTTTCAATTTTTTTTGGAATCTTAAGTCTATTTAGTCCCTCAATATTGTGAAAACAATTATATACTCATCTTCCGCTGGAAAATATTTTTCTTATAAGAGGTAAAATCTCTATATAGATTACGAGCTGATGATCTAAATAGGTGACAGGACAAGTTTAAGGTTTTTAGTTAAAGTATTAGATTGTAATTGTATTTTGAATCAATCACAGAGCCAGACTCACATCACCATTGGATGATCATATCTCCTGTATTGAACATGTTTGAAAGCCAGGGTTATTTCGAGTTCCTAGCTCTTGAAGCTTAGTAGAGTTAAAATTGTCAACCCATTTAATCAACATACGAGAGCAGTGTTCTGTATGCTCCAACTTTGACTCGTCTAACGAGGATGTAATCACAAGATTTTCGTGAGAACCAATAGTGAACCTGATCAAATGCTTAGATTTATAAAATTAGGCGAGAAACATCTTTGACTGACCTATGCAAACGTTGCCAGACTATAGCACAGTGTACAACGTGCTCTCGGATAGTTGTATAATACATCTCGAAGCCAAGGTCTAATGGGTCTATTTTACCGGACCTATTCTTGTTCTGGAAATATTCCCATGGGCCGTGGTCGTTATACTCTTGAAGAGATGTAGAGTCAAGACATTCCCGAGGAACCCAACTGACAGCCAGAGGATCATAAACACAGTTATTTTGCTGTGCATCAGCGGTTGTATTGCCGCAAGTGAATGTTCGAGACTTGAGTACTGGCTGTCTATCCTGGTACTGGAATAAGCTGTAGATAACGACAATTAAGATAGCAAAGAGACAAGATAGGGTAACGGTGTCGAGGGCACGTCTTATGTGTGAACGTTTGTTTGGAGAAAATTGTGCTTCATTTTCCGAAGACCTTTGCAGAAGAGATATGGCGGACTGGTCAACTGACTCATCAGTATCCTCCGATGCGGATCGAAGAGGCATAACTTCTAAACGGTACAAGCTATTCGAGTAATCAGTTCCTCTGCACCAAAAGCATTTCCAAAGAAAGCAAAAGTTGGCTCGGCATACCTTGAATATGAACTGGAGACTTCAAGAAGGCAAATAAATAGCACGGCGCGCTAAATGCTGAAGTTCATACAGAAGAGTAGCTGAAGAGTTGAGAGAGGCTGTCAGAAGTAGATGGCTAGTGATTTGAGAGAAGCGGTCAGAAGTAGAGGTCGAGTGGGTAGAGGTGGGGAGGCTGAGTGTGAACCGAGATTTCAGAGCCAGTAGCGTGATGGCAGATGGTATATAAGTAGTAGGGCTTATGGCAGTCAGTCAAAAGGTAGCGGTGGTGAACTGTAAAGTCTGCTGTGATACCAATTAGATAGTCTCACTTATTTATATACGACCTTTGAACAGAAACGTTCGTGGCTAAGAGTATTATGGTTTGCATCATTTATAACATCATGGAAGATTCGAAGAAAAAAAAGATGCCAAGATGTATCATTCTTTATCTCGTATTCTTGCTTAGATCACTTAATTTAAGGTTTGAAGACCCCCTCCCCCCAAGATAATCGATTGTTGATTGATATCAAAAGAACTAATATAAAGCATTAAAACAATATCAAAGGTACTGATAGCATAACGGTAAATACCTTAAGCTCTAGGTGAATTAATCAATTGCTTTCATATAATCTGTTGCACCAACGACCTAGTACAATAGGCTGAAACTTGCCAAAACCAAGGTATATGACGGTTTTTATTCTGACTATATTCGAAAGTGAATCAAATACAACACTTCAAGAGCTGAAAAATTTCTCTATTAATTGAGCCGTATTGATTGAGTTCGTTGTCTCTAGCCCTAATGAATCTTGTCAATGAACTGTTGAAGTCATAGTATCCCCTAGACTGCCAACTAGCGGCGCCGTCGCTTAGCAGGGATCTTGTCGATCAACCAGATTATCAGGATTCCCAGCTTGCTTATGATATTTGGATTATATTCTATAATAACTATTGAAATACCTATTATTATTATATAAATGAGTGTTATATTCTTGATATCCCTATATACTTTTATGCCTATTACCTTTTAATCTAAAATTATTCGATATTTCCCTTAATATAGTTCTTTTTGCATCAAAAAAGAGTTTCTTATATGTACTACAATCTCTTTTATCTCTTAATCTTATAAAATAATAATTTATAGGAGGGTTAGAATTTTTAATTGAAACCTGTAAAAACTCAAAAGAATTTTTAGAATGGTATCTAGACCCGAATTCAGCAATTAATTTATTACTAAAAGCTTTCCGAAAATCGATATATTTTATAAATTTGATTGTAGAGTTTTTTGATGTAATTTCTTTATAAATCAAATAGTAATTAATTGAAGTAATAATTAAAAATTATTGTTCTAAAGCTTGATAACCATTATATTGTTGTTATCGATATTCTGGCATTGAGGTATACAATTGATCTTTTATATCGATAGCATTTATATTATAATTATAATTATCAAAAAGAGTCGGAATAGGTAGTTTTCTTTCAAACTCATTTCCGAATATTGCTTTAACTATTTTAGTTTTCGAATAGGTAGATTTCGGTTTTTTTTATAGTTTATTGATAAAAGTTTTTTTATTATATATTATAAATTGAGCCAAAACTAGTGTATTGTTTTTCTACACTATATAACATATTTTATTTAAGGGAGATATTATAGAAAAGATTATTCCCTATAGTATAATATCGTTTTTATTGTTTTTTTTTTTTTTAGAATCAACTTTTTGTAAATACTGAAATTCAATTAATATATATCTATTATAGTATATCCTAAATGCTATAAATATTCTAAGAAGTTAATTGAGATAAATAGATTATTAAAATAAAGATAATATAAAGCTTTAAATAATTTCTATATTAAGTATAGAACTATTGCTTATATTTTATTTATACATTTTTCTTTTTTTTCTAATTCTAAAAGAAAAAATATCATTATACCCACTAAACTATTATTTTTTTTAATTTTATATTAATTTTATATTATAAAAAAATCTTGATTTACTATTATCTATATTTTAAATTCTATAAAAATAGGTTTATTTTTAATAGTAATAATAAAGCTTAATTAATTATTATACTATATTATATATTTATTAATTGAAATTTGATTTTGAGGTTTTTATATTAAGAAATTAATTTATTGAATATAATCTAATAATGGATTTATTTAAAAAAAAAGCATATTAGTATATAAAATCTAAATTAAATAATAAGTTTTTATTTTTTTGAATATATTCTTCATTTTAGAAGGTTTAATACAATACTATATATAAAATTCTAGATATTGATTTTTTGATATGAAATATACAAAATCATATCTTTTTTTTTTGTTTTTAAATTCTTAATATATATCAACCTTAAATTCGATATAAATCGATATATATATATATATATTTAAATATAGATAAATCTTATTTGTTATAATAGAATATTACGAAAATACTTGTAAATTCGAAAGTTCTTTATTTTTCGAAATTTGTATATATGAATTTATTCATTTTATAATCAATTCTATTATTTTTAAAGAAAAGTAAAAATAAAAAAGGGTAAATAACTAGTCGGCTTGAATATTGGTTAATAGAAATAACTTTCAATCGAAATCAATATATTCTATAGATTCGAAACAAATCCCTATTATTGAAATAGGAGGGATATCTGGGTATAATGTTTTTGTATTAGTAAAATCAAATTCTACATTATTTGAGATTATATTAATAGAATTGTTATATATGGCGTATATGTTGATTTCCTTATTTTCAATATTATTTACAAAGTTATTAATGTTCTTGCTCAGTGCACGGACCACATACGGCGCCGCTAGCCGGCAGTCTAGGGGATGATTGAGGTTGAAGGGGTGAGGGGTCCTGGGGTGGTGATGGATTATGGGTAATTTCAAACTAGCCCGTGCGTTCAGGCGATGCACCATCTTGGTTACTCTATTGAGCTCTAGTTTCCTGGATAGAAAACTCTATGAAATCACGCACTTCTTCATTCAGCTAAATCTAGAATTTAAGTTAAGCTTTAAGCCTCCCCGTTAGCCGACAGAAGGTGGGACCTAAAGGAGCTGCTTACACATACTCCGTAGATTAGTTAATAAAGTAGAGTATAAAACATTATCTCTTTTGATATCCTTTCTTGTAGATTGATGCAACTCTTTTTATTACTCAATCATGTAACCTGTCTTCTCCGACCACCTCCTACATACTATGGAATCTGTACTCTATGTTGTTGAAATTCGGAGTTCCACTAAAATCTACTCTAACCTTATTCTAACAATGAACCCTAAGTAAGATTCCTTCCCACTTGTGAATTTTGAACCCTTAACCCTAGCTCAGATGAATTCCAATTGACTATCGGGGTAAATTTGGATTATCAAAAGGCTTTTGTAGTCTTCAATTAGACTTCCTGGTGAATCACGTTGATCGAAAGCCGAAGTTTTTCAACCCTAGTACTACTGTCCATGACATGATATTTACCGGTACTCAGCAAAGCTGAACAAGTATTTAATGAGATGGATCTCCTATCAAATATTACTGGAGGGGAGGGAGTACTACAAAGGGGGAGGGAAGGATTCTCTTGACTACATAGGGCTGGTTTTCGAATCTTTAGGTATTTTGATTGATGAGGATGCTAGAGCATAATTTATAGACTTGTCTAAAGGAGATTCGAATTACCCATAGCCCTCTATTATTCAAATCAGTTTATATTCATTTCTCTTGGAGATTAGCTTTTATAATGATAATAATTATTATTATAAAGTAACTCTTTTTATCGTAAAGTGCAGTACAGTCACTTGAAGTGTGTAATTGAAGGGTATTGCGGGTATCACGGGTATTACGGACGTCATCGTGGCTTTAAAAATATGAGATTCAAGCACTGATTGCTACTATTGCTTCATGAATATAAAATCCACTTAATGGAAGTTAGATATTTTCGTTGGCGAAGAGTTTGTGTCAGGCGAATAATGCGGACGTCGCAGGAGTCTTGTATCTCGCCTCCCACTCCACGTCCGTGAGGCTTGGTCCATCGACAAACACCTACTAGCAGAAAAATCTTGTCAAAAATGTCTGCTGATATTTTCCGTGATGAAACCCACATACAATCTAGGTCTATCGCAGTCATCATCTGTAGCACTCGTCCCTCCCGCATCGGTCATTTGATCGCACAGCATGTCATCGTCGAACTTGACTCTCATCTCTCCAAGCTCGGGAGAAATGATCTTCATCTGTCTCACATTGACATGCTCTCGCATCCGCTAAAACTTCTCGATAAGCCGGGCGTACCTTCTAAATTTCCAGCAACAAACCCAAATGCACATTACACCAAGGCACACACTCGTGATTGGTCGATGGAAATTCTCAAACACAGTGCTTTCATTTTCGTCGTTCCTTAGTACAACTGGAGCTATCCGGGGTAATCAAGAACGCTATGGACTATCTCTATGATGAATGGGCTGAAAAGCCCGTGTTTGTCGTAAGTTATGGAGGATATGGTGGAGGCAAGGCCGCAGCGCAGCTCGTTCAAGTGTGTCAGGGGCTTAGAATGAAACCATTATCTCAAACTGTGGGATATCGGATTGATCTCGTGGAATCCTCTCAACTCTTAGAATCCGGTAAATTTTCATCAGAACGACTACAAATTTGGAAATCTGAAAATATCGAAGATAAATTGCAAGCAAGGTTCTTGGAACTTGTTGAATCGATGCAATAGCTTTACATGCATCGATCTATCTTTGCAAAGATCTGCGATATAGAATGCACACTATGCAGTATTCGAATTAAGAGAAAAAAATTGTATTGTGCTTTTATAGATTGCTTTCATGATCTTGTAATTTGAGAACATTGCGGTTTGAACTTAGATTGGCCTTGAAAGTGACATCGAGTGAAGGAAATAGCATTGAAAACTGTAGAGATCGAATAGTTTCAAATGATGTTATGAACTATGAAGAGAGAAGAGAATTAAGCTACGACAAGAATCTACATTTATACCCTCCTTAGCTTCTTGTCACGTGTGCCCTTGATCGAAAGTAGGAGCAAAGAGAAATCACATTGTACCCACGGGGAGAATGTAGATATGCGACCCTTACGACTTAATGAAGTGGTGGTTGGACGAGAGATCCATGTCACTTCGCTAACCCCCGCATTCAAATACCCCGATGTAATCTAGAGATTGGTACTCTCAAACTTCAAACTTCATGTATCAATTGAAGATCCCTATTAATCCGACTTTTGTTCCACTTATGGTAGAATATTTAACAATTTGTCCTTATGAATCGCGATCCGCCGAGGTATCTCTAGGTGATGCACCCCACAATAGAAGCACGTCATTGACAACGGCAAATTCGACATGCCAATGTACTCGACCATCCGATTGGCGAATGGACATTTTTCTTCGGCATTATGACTTATTTCAAGAAGTTTGACCCGGAGCCCGAACTTGTTCACTATATTTGCCGATCTATGGATATGTGGTTAACATCTCCAAGAAGTGACATTTCGTTTAAATTAGCAAATAAAACTACAAATGCTTGAACCATGAAAAATTACATAAAGCAGAGGCTGGCCAGTAATGGTCGTCATTTTACTACTCAAGAATCATCTTCCAATATCCTTCCAAACGACTCATTTGAGCTTTCAATTACCTTCAAAATGCGTGCCTCACTCACTTCCCTTATTACTCTATTTATCATTACGCTTGCTGAAGCATCCGTTACTTGCGTCAAGGTTGGAGCGACAGCCAAAGCCACATGGACCAATTCAGCTGGGAAGACTTGCACGTGGACAGGAACAGTTGGAGGCAACTTTGGAACTAATACAGTCAACGCTGGAGAGTAAGTTTTTTGACTCCAAGACTGTTCATATAAAGCATGCTGACCATCTTGAAAAGCTACAGCTGCAACGGAAGATGTGGAGCAGGTTGTACTGGAACCGCCCTTGGCAATTACTAGTATGTTGAAGGCCAAGTTGAATGCAGTAACTTCAGTAAAACTTTTGATTGCTAACGAGAATAACTTATAGCACACAAGACTGCTGGAACCATGACATATGCTCTTACTTCAACAATGCCTCAGGTGGTGCAAGGTATGATCTGACATGTATTCTTGTGTCTCATCAATAACTTACTAAATGATACATAGTGACGCTAATTGTGGTTCGGCATATACTGCGGCAGAAGATGACTACCTTCTTGGTGGAGTTGATGGATGTACTCAGACAAACCCCAGCATCTCAGCTGTTGTACCTACCACAAAACCTGTCTGTGCTTGATGCACATCATGTAAACTAAACAGGATGAACTTGAAAGAGGGTCATGGTTCGCTATGAAAAAAGTAATAAATTCAAATTTGGTATCATATCAATAAATCCATTATTCTCCAACAGGCTGCTGGGCCTTCAAACAAATTCCGCAGCCTTACACTTTCATCGCGCTCTCACAATACAAGGGACTGACACCCGAACGGAGTGTAAATCAGCTTTCCTCCTTGTTATGGCTTTGGCTCTTCCTTTTGGCCACCCCCAAACATTCCTCCAACAAATCCACCTGCGCTCTTAGCACCGCTTGCCAAGCCAGAGCCAGCACTCTGTGCGCCACCCAAAACTCCCTGTCCAGCACCCTTTGCATTATTGATGATTGGATCGCTGATGGCTGACGTCGGACCGCCGTAGGAACCATCTTCATCTTTTCCATTTCGTTCCATCCTGTTTATGCCCTCTTTCCCAGCCAAGTTTCCAATTGGAGCTAGCAGACCATTCTCCCCAAGCTGATTGCCGACAAGGTTATGGACATCGTCTTGTATTTGGTCGATTTGTGATACGCCGGTGACTTTGGTCTTGCTGAGGGCATCTATGATTATCATTAGCTAAAGACCTCTTATCTTAGGTAAAAGTCTAGGCCGGCCTACCCTTTGTCGCATATGATGCCTTGTTGTCTCCTTTTCCGAACCATCTCAAATATTGGTCTTCAATCCATGGCATCCATTTCTCATATTGATCGTTGTATGCCTCCTTTACCCATTCCGTATATGTTTGCTTTTGTCTTTGATCCTCGGAAAGACTCTCGTAGAACTGTTTCTTCTGTTCATCCGTATGCTCAGGAGCAGCCATACCTGTCGCATTCTTTAAGGACTCCATGATGTTGTTCTAAGATGGAATCGGGTGTGGTTCGCGTGATTTGGGGTCTTGCGTAAGAGTGTTCAACTTGTGGTATGGTTTGATAGAGGTAACAACAACAGATAGTGACAATGTGTTTTAATATGGCGAAAATTATTAAAACTGATTTGAAGTACGGTTCAAGATATAATGAGGATTTCATTAAGATCTCAAGGACTCAATGACGTAGGTTGTCATATCCTGGTCGCCTTGTGATCTGGTTTTGGAAATCCTGTTTTGCCATTCAGGGATACAGGGTAATCAAGCGACTCGTTAATCAAGATTCCATGGGAACGGCGACAAATCAATCTCCATGAAGAATACCCAAACCCAGGCGACAGCCACATGAAGAAGACATTTCTGGTTCGCAAATGAGATCTAGAACATCATGTGGATATGTAGCAGGGAAGACAAGAAGCATTTTGCACTAGCAAAAGCCACCATTTCCATCTTCAACGAACAAGCTATCCTCACGGGAACCTGCGATATGACATTTCTCATTTCTTGAACTGAGGTCATATGTTTGAATTTCTTGGTGTTGAAAAAAAAAGGATCTTAGTTGCGCGTCTGCATGTGAGCCGAAGAAGTATTTCGAGTAGCTAGGTACTGATAGGTTGACTCGTAGGTTAGAAAAAGCCCAGAAACAAACCCCATTGATTATGGATGGTTGTACATTGTATATCCGCCGACCCAAAACGCCGTGAGGATAAGCCCGTGAACGCCTCGACATTTTCTCATTACCATCCACCTCTGAATCCTCTTCCCCTGCCTCTAAATCCACCTCTTCCCCCACCACGTCCTCCATATCCACCCCCTCTGCCGCCGTATCCACCATCACCATAACCTCCATCATACCCTCTCGGCGCCGAATTATGATCCATGTCATCAGCGCTAGGTCTTGATCTCTTCATCTCCTTCGGGAATGCGTCGTATGTCTTCCTCATTTGCGCATAACCTAGATGCATTTTTCCGTAAAAATGGTCTGCCAATCTTCGATCGTTATCCAGCCGACTCAAATAAGCTCCGCACACATCACAAACTTGTAATTTTTGATGTCCTGAAGGCCCGCTAGTATCTGATAATGCCTTCAGCTCCTTTTCTTTCTCCGCCTTTGTTTGCATAGCCTGTCTTATACGGAAGAACTCCTCGTAAGCGCGCGATACCTCCGATTGTTCTCCCAGAATCTGAATTTCTAATAGACCTGACTCGATGGATTTCGATAGATCAGATATCTGTTTGAGAAGGGCGTTTGTTTGTCGAATTTCATCGGGTGTTTTCTCCAAGCGTCGCTGTGCGACATCTATCCTTCTATTACATTCATCAATGTATTTCTGTAAGTCGCGCATGTAATCGTATTCGAAACCCCATTTCTGTTTTTGAGGAGGTGCTGCAGTTTCAAACTCCGTCTTTAATGGCTCTGAATGGATCTTTGGACATGGCCCTAAATCTTGTTTCGTGTTTGTGAAAAGATCGTGAGGACAAGTACCGACGAGAAAAGAACGGCAAATCTTTGGATCTGTAATTGAAAGCTGTGCTGCGCGGGAGGATGCTCCAGCGCCCATAAGCTGCTCTGTCAAGAGGGTTGTATTAGTAAAACGATGAAATTTCGATGTTAAAAGACGAATTGAAATTGTGTTCGACGGAGCGCAAAAATTTGAAGAGTTGAGATAGGAATTACAACTTACCAAGGAGCTTTCTCTGTTCTGCGGCCATGTTTCGAGATATGTGATTGTATTTGTTGTTGTTTGACTTTTGGAGATTGATAGAAAAAGATATGTAGAGACAAGACAAGGCAAGGCTCGGAGCGGCGGGCAAAACGGAACACGCCGTGATAAGGCTGCACATTCGAACTACTTCCTCAGATTCAAGAGTTCCACGGGTGCTTGTACCTACCTATGTAATGACCCTTCACAACTCAATGAAGAGCTTCTTGACAATATGGCTTTGAATGCCATGAACCCAATGAATAAATTTTATCATATTCTCTTCCTTGTTTTTAGTTTATTATCTACAAGAATAATCGCATCCTCAGATTATCACGAGCAACTTCTTCTACGACCCCTTCATCCTTCATCTTTACTAGCTTCATTCAACTTCCAAAGTAACACAAGCCTCGAATCATTCGAACAACAGAATTTTCGCTATTTTCCAAGATCATTGGGGCAAATACTTCAGTATGCCAATACACGAGAATTACATTTGAGGTTCAGCCTTGGTAGATGGGATGCTGAAAATTGGGGTGCAAGGCCATGGGGTGGTACAAGGGAAGGCGGAACAGGTGTAGAGCTTTGGGCTTGGGTAGAAGCAACCACTGATGAGGAGTATGGTGCTCGTTTTGTAAAAAGAGATTCAACTGACACTTTCTTAGGGCTGATGGTCGCTGGTTAACCTTGACCAATGCATTGTCTGGCCTTTTCTGTGCTTCTCTTAACTTTATCGATTCTACAAGAACAACGAGACCTGTCTTATCATTTCAACCAGTCAATGATCACTCAAACTCCACATTAGCGGATCTACACTTACTCCATGGGACTCTGCCTCGAGAAGTTGTCTGCACAGAAAATCTGACGCCTTTCTTGAAACTCCTGCCCTGTAAAGGCAAGGCTGGTATTTCGAGCTTACTCGACGGACATAAGCTATTTGATGCTTCATGGCAGAGCATGTCGATTGATGTGCGACCTATATGCGCGAGCGATTCAAGTGACTGCCAGCTTCAGATTACACAAACGATCGATATGGTATTAGATATTCAAAGATCCAGGCGCCCGAGAGGTTCGTAAATCACTACCCAATATGAGCAACCTGCTAAATTCAACCCAGACAATCCAATTCCACGGCCTGTACAACTTGAAGATTTGAAATGTGACACGTCAAAATCATATCATGCTGAGGATACTTGCTTCCCTCTGGATAACGCTGCGGAAGAGGAGGATTGGAGTTTATCACAAATTTTTGGACATTCGATGAAGGGATCTTGTCCACTAGCCGATAATGTTGAAGACTCCGTTTGCATAAATGTTCCTCATGCCCGCAATGTCTTCACTTCTGGAGGAGCAGTTGAGCATAAAGATCCCTCTGGATACAGCCGATGTTTTCGAATACCACAAGACAGCGACTTTGAGATGGTATTACCTCGACAAGATATATACGAGAAAGCCCCATTGGAGCAACCCCTGCTTTATGCCGAGCGCTCATTCATTGGATATGGGCAGGAACGAGGTGGTGTACAGGCCATACTTACAAATCCTTCGCCAACAGATGCAGTTGATTTTGTATACATGGAATCGCTCCCTTGGTTCATGAAGGTTTATCTCCATACTTTAAAGGCCGATACTAACGGCTTGTATGAAGATGTCATACAAGAGATGTTCTATCGTCCAGCCCTGGATCGCAAGAGAGGGACTCAATTGGAAGTGCGGATGCGCATTCCAGCAGATTCTACAGTTATCTTGACTTATGACTTTGAAAAGGCCATCCTTCGATATACAGAGTATCCTCCGGACGCTAATCGTGGGTTTGATGTTGCCCCAGCCGTTATCACCATTGGAAACGTTAGTATTCGGACCACGAGTCTTCTGCTTCCACTTCCAACACCGGATTTCAGCATGCCTTACAATGTTATCATTCTTACTAGTACTGTAATGGCATTGGCATTTGGAAGCGTTTTCAATCTTTTAGTCAGGAGATTTGTTGCAGCCGATGAAGCTGAAAATTGGGACATCAAGGCTGTTAGGATGCGTGTTTTAATGGTTGTGCAAAAGATACTGGCTCGGATGACAGGAAAAGCAAAGTTTGGCAAGGAAGAATAGGACATGATACCCAACACATAATATGGATTTCTTGCTTTCTACTTGTTTCCTTCTGAGAAAAAGACTGCAAAGGAAAATCATCTTGAGTCTGAAGAATTTACAGCTGTATTTATTGGGCCATTACAAGTTCCCCGAAGATTCTCCGCTAAGTCCAGACTTTCGTTCGTCAAAGTCCACTTATTAACATCTAGGCGTTTTCATCACCAGTTGTGGTTAATTCTCAAGCTTCTCGCCACTTCTTACTCTTACTTTGATCATACCATATAGACACGAACTCGATTCACATCTGCTAGCCACTCTCTAGTCACGGGCGCGGTGCCCTCTCATGTTCCGACATTAAGTTCAGAAATAACACGTGCCTTGTGGCCGCCTAGACCTCCTTCTGGCACGTGCCACAAGCAAATCCAGGAACGCAAGCAGGGTGTATTAATCTCCGACCACCAGCTTTACCAAGAACGATTCTGTAAATACCGGCGTGCTAACAACTCAAATCTACATCATGCACGACCTCGACTGATAGCTACCTTATCTTGTGATCAATTCTTCACCCAAATTCTCCCATTCTCCCTTGATGAACACAATTCTCCAGCACGAAAGTGTAATGTTAATCTTTTGAATTGGCGACAATAAATTTTGTGTTCCGATAAGTACACACTAGGTACGTGATACATATTTTACTTAATCAGTTTTGTATCACGATCGTGGTGGTCTAGATCATACAGCATTCACCGTCAACGAAGTCGCTGGCCCTTCATCCCAACTAGACGTGTCTATTCGTGATCTAGGCTCAAACTGTTTACAACTTGTTTCACCTGGTAAACTTATGGGGCAGATGCTGTACTTTGTCAAGCTCTCAATGATTTTTACCATGATTCTGGCTGTGTGCGTCAATAGTAGAACTACAACGCCTAGTGCTTGCTACTCTAAAATCGTGAGCAAGATTTAAGCACGGGAAGATCAACTGTTCAGTTCAAAACTGGGCAGCATTCAACATGAATTCATTGAGTTTTCCAAGAAGAAAGAGTACTGGATCTACCAAGCGAATCTATCTCACCAATAGATGTCGATTTCATGTAACAATCTCCTTTGTTGTATCGCGTCTAAAAATACTGGGAATCTTACTCAAGTTCTCTATCATCCTTTTATTGCAGAGTAAATTAAACCCTTTCATCAACATCACTCTTTGGAAGAAAACTGTAATCATAGTCAAGGTCATGTGTAGTTGCCATCGGCAATTATGATGCCAAGAACTTTATTCACCAATCTCTTAGTATGTTCCCCTTGCATTCTATCCGCGTGCCGGTTAAATAAACATATTTCCTTATCGCAATAACCGTGTAGTTTCATGTTCTCTATGTTCAGGAGACCTTATTGTAACGTTACTACAATATCGGTACATCATCCACAGATGGCACAAAGTCGATGGATAAATGAGCACAGATATATACAAACAATAGAATTGAAGATCATTCCCTATCTAACTCGCTGCATTTGGTAAGCTAAGCTATCATGAAATCCTCATCTGGAGATCAACTGAACATTTTTAAAATTCGGGGCACGCCGCTACTACAACCTGCCTTCCTTACATTTCTTTATCTGCTATACTTCTCCTTATCCATGTCAAAATTTGCTGGATGTGTGAAATAAGGCCGGTGTCGTTCCTGGTGGTAGGCGGTTGATAAACTTCATAGCCAACGAGTGACAATAAGAAGAAATGCGGTTACATATGACCTCCACATCTGTTCTGAAGGTTTCAGTCATTCAATTCATCTTAAGTAACTGCTCAATTTGGAAAGCGTTTGTTCTTACCATGGCTTCGTGCAAGCTGCGATGTGTAAACTGTACCAATCGGGAAGTCGTTCGTGTCATTTAGACGTGAGTGGTGATAATTTTCTCATGCTTCATTGTTATCCAGTCATCCGTTGATATCAAGTGGTAACGTTATATGAATTTTGGCGAATACTGTCTGTATAACTATTAAAGGGGGGATTTGCTTGAGGAAGAACAAAGCATCTATCTCTTCAACTTCTTCATCTTCTTTACTGCTCTTTACTATTATTTTTACGGCTCAGTGGTTATTCACTTGACGAGTACAAGTCAATACTCTTCCACTATTATATTGACACTCGTGTTTCTACTTCTTCATCTAGCCAAACATGATTCTTATATTCATGCAGTACTTTTTACTGATTTTAACAAATCTTAATATCTTTGTACATTCCGCAGCAATTCCAGCTAAAAATGACGAGTCAGTTAGTGCAGTAGGGTATACTGGTGGATATCACAATGCAGCTTACTTTGTCAATTGGTATGTCTTTCCAAATGAAGTTCATTCCCTGATAATGTCAAACATGACCTCTGATTTGTTTACCACAGGGCAATCTATGGACGAAACTATCAACCTCAACAATTGCCGGCTACTAAGCTGACTCACGTCCTTTACGCATTTGCTAACCTTCAAACGGATGGTACAGTGTATGTCAAACTTTTTCTATGATCGATGCTGTAAGAATTGCTCTAACATAAAAATTAGCTACCTCTCCGACACATATTCTGACCTTCAAAAACATTACCCTACTGACTCTTGGAACGACGTCGGAAACAATGTTTATGGGTGTGTCAAGCAACTTTATTTACTTAAGAAAAAGAATCGTCAAATGAAAACTCTTTTAAGTATTGGTGGCTGGACATACTCTACGAACTTCGCTGCTGCCGCTAGCACAAATGCAACTCGTACAAAATTTGCCTCAACCGCCGTGCAATTTGTTCAAGACCTTGGATTTGATGGTATTGATATTGACTGGGAGTACCCCGCCAATGATGTCGAAGCGGGCAACTTCGTTCTTCTTTTGCAAGCTGTTCGCTCGGCTCTCGATGCATATGCTGCGCAGCATGCTCCTGGTTACCATTTCCTCATTACTGTTGCGAGTCCTGCCGGTCCAGAGAAATACAATATTCTCCATTTGGCAGATATGGATAAATATCTTGATTCCTGGCACTTAATGGCGTATGATTATGCTGGATCCTGGGACAATGTCACAGGCCACATGGCAAATTTAAATCCTAGTGTGAACAATAATTCAAGCACCCCATACTCGACGCAAAGAGCGATTACAGATTACATTGCGAAGGGTGTTAGCCTATCCAAGATAATCATGGGTTTACCGCTGTATGGAAGAGCATTTGAAGGTACCACTGGGATGGGTTCAACATTCAATGGAATTGGTTCTGGGTCATGGGAGGCAGGAGTTTGGGATTACAAGGATCTGCCCAGAGCTGGTGCGTCTGAATACTACTCTTCTGACGTTGTAGGAACCTACAGCTACGATAATTCCACAAAAGAGCTTGTTAGTTATGATAACGTCAAGGCAATTCAAACAAAGACGGAATACATCATGAGTAGTGGACTTGGAGGTGCAATGTTCTGGGAGTCCAGTGGGGATAGGAATGATAGCAAGAGTCTCATTTCAACAACGGCAGGTATCTTCCCCTCATTGGACCAGACTCAGAATCTATTGACCTACAATGCGAGTGCATATGCAAACTTGGCAGCTGGCATGCCTGGTGTGTAATTTTGCGATGAATGGGGATTGATATAGTGGATCCGGCTAGAGGCAAGGAGGGAGAGATACCTTGGAATGTTGATACCATTTGGAGTATATACGGCGTTGCTTTACTATCATCGTACACGATGGCTATGATTTTTGATATCATCTGGAGTATAGTTTGGATTGTTCTATTGCTGTCGTATTCGAGAGGATAGTTGATCATGTCACAAGTAAATAGACTAAGAATTAGGTTGTCATATCCACAACTTAGAGAGTGCTCGCAATTTTCAAATATCGTGATTTATTTCTTTCTTCAGCCTGAGCCAGACCAAGCCACGAACAGCCATAGACAGCTACAGCACCCAACCCACCCATCGTGAGAATTGAGTTTAAGCAAGTGCCGTATCACGATTACTTGAACAATGTATTGTGTGAAGCTATTTGATTCCACAGACCAACTGTACCACAACCGATTATTGTTGATCGCTTGACGCCATGTCGCGTACCAGCCAGCCCCTTTTTAGTTGTCAAATCCAGCTCCCATCTATGATACCAACCTTGCTCATCATTTTATGTTGCATGTGTTTCACCCTTCCATCTCCTAACTTGCAATTGTGCATTCGATATCTCATTTCTCGAATAATTTTAACAAACAATCTCAGATTTCGAAGACAGACTAATGACACAGCTTCTTCAATCTTATCCGGATTGTTGTAAATATCTATTGAGTGCATCTCTACACTACTCGCCATATAGTGTACAGTTTCAGTACGAGCCAAGTCCTTGTCCTCTTGTAAGAACTCTGTTCAACATATGTATGGATTTATTATAAGAATTTTTCATGAAATTGTGACGGACTTGATGTCGACAATGGAAAATATCCTGATATCCTGAAAATTAAATAAATGCTGAGTTTATTGTATGATATCTGGCTATGTTATATAAGAGGTATATCAGACACGGAGCTTTCCTAGAATGATTGAACCTGTTGCAGAAGTCACAGATTCGATTAATGTTAGTGATTAAGATGCATGCACTATAAAGACCTAATTATATAACAAAGTCAATGACACATGTATGTGGTGATTGTGCTTTGGCGATCACTGATGCCTTTTGCTGGTTTTACAACGAAACGAAAATCTGGAATGCAACAATGATTCATCTTTATGCTATTATTCAGTAATGCTGTTCTTGCGTCACATTTTGGGTACCAGTGGGTGCATGGATTGACGGGACACTTCATAACTTTCGAAATTTCTAATAAATTCATTCTTCAATTGTTTGATCTCAACACTCATGATTTGATTGTTTCAAATCTAATGAATGATTGTAACAACTTCCAAGATATCTAATTTGATATATCAAGTGACATTCATGAGTCGATTTTTGTAGTGCCGTCAATCCGTACACCCATTGGCGGCTGTGCCAGCGGGAATGGGAGATCTTCGAAGTGATCAGACGTTACATCCAACTTCCTTCCCCATTTGGAAGGCCTTACTAGTCAATGATTTGCAGAAGATATTGCAAATCTGAAGAAAAACACTCGTAGTCATTGCAGTGTATCAATTGGGCCATGGATGCTAAGCCTGGTAGGCGAGGCGGACACCCTGAACACCGGACTCGTGAGGCCCTGGGGAATCGAAGAGATTTGAACTATTCAAGGCAAGCATGGACTTACAGTATAAATTAACACGGAAGATATTTAGATGGAAGTGACAATATAACCAAGTACACCGCGAGAACCCCTAGCTTTTAACCGATGCTAACGGCTTGACTAAACATTACACAAAGCCAGTCTTGCTCTTTCGCAGATCATCAGAATCTCAATACGAATGCCTTATTGTGTTCTCATTGATTACACTTAGGAACTTCAAGGAAAGAGATCAGTAATATGTAGTAAATATTGAAATTACATTTCACAGTGGAGACTCCAGACTGTTCACAGGTGTGGCTCGTGTGTGGCTTGCAATCCATAGTGAGAATCTAGGCCCGTGGACCTGGGCATAATATTTTCACCAATCAATGACTTCATAGAGGCGGTCCAACGCTCGACCGACGGCAAGCTATCCGCCCGCTAAGCATTAGTATCTCCAAGTCTTATACGGGTAGATTATCAGACATCGGAATCGGTCTATCTCCAAGGACCGATCAACCTCGGCACAAAGATAAAATGCTCCATAGATAAATAAATATTGTTGTTGGAAGCACCGAAAGATATTTTTACCTGCTGGCTGAAACCTATAAACTTATCTGCATTTGTCGTCAAAACCGCCATGTTCCACAATTTCTAGAAGAATACCCACAAGAATTTGGGAACTTCACAGGGTATTAAGATATGGAAGTACCGACGCTTAATATGAGAGACGCCGAGCCGCGGTACATTTTGTACAGAAGCTTCAGATCGTGAAGTAAAATTATCATTTTGGTTGAAGGAACAGCTCATGATTATTCCCTTTCTCTCCTGCCAAGATGGAGTATTATCCTATTTTGTATCTTGCACCCTTTCCTCTACACCGGGAACTTTTTCTTCCATCGCCTTTTGAAGTTATGATACCCAAGTTATGATAATAGGAGAATATTTTCCTATGCCTGCTCAAATCACTCAGTCTAAGTCAGCTACTGCCTGGGTAGATATGCATTAACGCCTCAAGAACACTGCATCATGTTCATCATTATGCATTGAGTTTGTTCATGCCCCTCTCATCTATACCATATTCCAATCCTTAACCTTGATACTAATAATAAATGCTGGCTCTACATAGGAGAAAAAAGAGGCCGATTTTGATCATATAAAATCTTTAATAAAATCTCTGAATTAATTGGATTATAAATCAATCACAAATAAAACAAATAAATCTGAAAATATCAAGTTACTTTTCATTTTTTAATTATACTAATTCTTATCAAAGTTTATATTTTATTTTAGATTTAAGAAGAAGAATTTGGTTATTGAGGGTATTAAAAAGTGATTAAAACCGGCCTCTTTTTTCTCCTACATAGAGGCTGGGTATGATGCACCACGGACCCAAAAACTTTGAGCCACATCATATTGAACGACCACCGACTCTCCGATTCAACAAAAATCTGCACAATAGTTGTACAAGGTCCAATTACAATATCTGCTACCATACCAGTGATACTCTATCAAGATGAATAGATCCGCTATTCGGCAATATGTGAGATGCGTTGTGGTTTCTAGTCCTCCCTATCAAATTACGCAGTCTTGTTTCCGTGTGCAGTGATCATCCAAAGTATATATATTGACTAGGCAGTGCCTACTTCAAACATCATTGCTCCAACTTCTCATTTGAAGTTTTCTTTCAATATAAATCTGCCACTCATTTACATTATCTGAATCGCAGTATTTAACATGGCCGAGTTGGAAGAGATACCTGGACCTCCTGGTCTTCCTTTCTTAGGGAACGTTTCAGATGTTGACCCCGTCAATTCAATTGCTAGTCTTGAGCGTCTGGCGGAAATATATGGTAGGAATGAGAAGGTTCCCCATAGCTTTGGTTATTGTCGCTAACCATATGTTTTCTTGCCACCAGGTCCAATCTTCAAACTTAATCTCGGCGGTGTCGAAAAATTATTCATATCCACACAAGCTCTCCTCAATGAGATCTGCGACGAGAAGAGGTTTACAAAGATAGTAGCTGGAGGTCTAGAGCAAGTTCGCAATGGTGTCGGTGATGGCCTCTTCACTGCAAGGCATGGAGAAGAAAACTGGGAGTTGGCTCATCGAGTTTTGATGCCAGGTTTGTACCAGCAGTCTCAACAAATTGTTACGGGCAGTTAATAACTTTACAAAGCATTCGGTCCCCTATCCATTCGATCTATGTTTGACGAAATGCATGACATAGCTTCACAATTAGTGATGAAATGGGCTAGGTTTGGGTCAAAGGAGAAGATTGATGTTACCGATGGCTTTACGAGATTGACGCTTGATTCAATTGCCTTGTTAGTATCTACTTGTCTTGACGATTCCATTGACAGTTAAATTGACTGACAACTCAGATGTGCAATGGGAACCCGTTTCAATAGTTTTTACCATGAAGATATGCATCCTTTTGTCGATGCCATGACTGGGTTCCTTCTCGAGTCCGGTGCTAGAGCGCAAAGACCTGCGATTGCCAACTATTTCATGCGTTCGGCACAAGCCAAATACGATGCTGATATCAACTTGCTTCAAAGCGTTGCTAAAGAACTTTTGGCTGAGAGAAGAGCAAATCCAAACGATAAAAAAGATCTACTGAATGCCATGATTAACGGCAGAGATCCAAAAACTGGCAAAGGTCTTCCAGATTCGAACATTTTGAACAACATGATTACCTTTCTCATCGCCGGTATTTTTTGTTTCCAACGATTCATTCAGTTACTATTCTAACAAGTTTTTTAGGTCACGAAACAACGAGTGGCATGCTCTCATTCCTTTTCTATTATTTGTTGAAAAATCCTTCAGCATACCAGGCAGTTCAGCGTGAAGTCGATGAAGTCGTAGGCAAGGGACCCATCACGATTGATCACATGTCAAAACTCCCGTATATTGAGGCCTGTCTCCGAGAGACGCTGAGGTTGACTCCTACGGCACCCGCTTTCACGGTCTTTCCTTTACCTGATTCAACTGAGTCGCCTATCATTCTTGGCGGTAAATACGAAGTTAAGCCAGGGCAACCTATTCTTGCTCTTATTCCTGCTGTTCACCGTGACCCTACTGTCTACGGTGACGATGTCTCTTCATTCAAACCTGAACGTATGCTTGACGAGCCATTCAAAAATTTACCGCCTAACGCCTGGAAACCTTTCGGCAATGGTATGAGAGGGTGCATCGGAAGGCCTTTCGCTTGGCAAGAGTCAATTCTCGCCGTCGCTATGCTCTTACAAAACCTCAATTTCAGGATGGATGATCCAAGTTACAACCTTCTTATCAAACAAACTTTGACTCTCAAACCAGACGGATTTTTCATGCACGCCAGTTTGCGGGATGGCATTGACCCTATTCACCTCGAAAAAATGTTACATGTTGATGTTTCAAAGGAACGTCTGTCAGAAAGCGATCAAAAACTTGCCAAGGTCTTGAGCAATTCTGGAAAACCAAAACAACCAATGTCTATCTTCTATGGTTCAAACTCCGGAACATGTGAAGCTCTTGCTCGAAGTCTTGCAAGAGAAGCCAGTGGACGTGGTTACGAGGCTCAAGTCGACCCTCTTGACGCTGCTGTAGACAAGATTCCCAAGGATCAGCCAGTAATTTTGATATCTTCTAGTTATGAGGGACAACCTCCTGATAATGCCTGTCATTTTGTTGAGTGGTTGGAGAACTTACAAGGTAGTGAACGTCTTAAGGGAGTCAAATATGCTGTATACGGATGCGGAAATCGTAAGTGTTCCTATTGCGTTAAATATGAAAGGATAAAGGTGATGACTAACAAGTATTGCAGATGATTGGGTGTCGACTTTCCACCGGGTTCCCAAATTACTCGACAGTGGATTTGAGGAGAACGGCGCTACTAGAATCGGGGATACTGGATTAGGCGATGTTGCTGCTGGAGACATCTTTGAGGCATTTGATGAATGGCAAGACAAGCATCTCTGGACCAAATTAACCAGCAGCGCGGATCATGGAGAAGAAGTAGGTTTGGAAATTGAAATCGATTCTACCTCCCGCTCTTCGAGACTTCGACAAGACGTTCGTGAGTCAATTGTTCTCAGCAACAAGGTTTTAACAGCACCCGGGGAACCAGAGAAACGTCACATATCACTCAAAATTCCAACTGGAATGTCATACCGTGCTGGCGACTACATGGCAGTTCTTCCAATAAACAATTCCAAGAATATTCGACGAGTTTTGAAACAATATGGACTTCCTTGGGATGCTATGTTACATATTAAAGCTAGTCCTAATACCACTTTACCAACTGGACACCCAATATCTGTATGGGACGTTCTTGGGGCTTACGTCGAACTCAGTCAAGTTGCAACTCGAAAGGTATTATTTCTCAATCTTCAGCCATGTCGACTGCTAACATTTGTAGAACGTCGCAAAAATTGCCTCAAGTACACCTGAGCCAGAAGTGAGAGAAAAGATCGAATATCTAGCCAAGGAAGGCTTTGACAAGGAGATTTTACTCAAACGACGTTCGCCACTGGATATACTCGAAGAGTACCCGTCCGCTGCACTATCCCTTGGAGATTTCTTAGCCATGCTTCCACCCATGAGAATTCGCCAATACTCAATCTCCTCATCACCACTTGAGGACCCTAGTGTTGCAACTTTGACCTGGTCTGTTCTTGATACAGTTTCGAAAGCCGGGGAATCGAAACGCCATTTGGGAGTGGCATCGAATTATCTTTCTTCTGTTGAAGAAGGAGACCGTGTACATGTTTCTGTCAAACCAAGTCGTGGAGCTTTCCATCCTCCTACTGACTTAGAAAATACTGCAGTAATTTATATTTGCGCTGGAACTGGGTTAGCCCCTTTCCGTGGTTTCGTACAAGAGCGAGCCTTGCAAATAGCTGCTGGACGAAAATTAGCCCCTGCGTACTTATTTATTGGTTGTGGACATCCCGATAAAGATGCTCTGTTCTCTGATGAATTGAAGAAATGGGAGGCGGATGGTGTGGTCAAACTCTACTACGCGTTCTCAAAGGCTCCAGAATTAAGCAAAGGGTGTCGCCATGTTCAAGATAGACTCTGGGAAGAGAGAGAAGAGCTAAAGAAGGCTTTCGATAGTGGCGCAAAGTTGTATGTCTGTGGTTCGAGTATGGTTGGAGAAGGTGTCTCGGTCATGACTAAGAAGATTTACGCGGAGGCTGCTGATTTACTCGGAAAGACTAAGACGGATGAGGAGGTTGAGGATTGGTTTCAGGGCATTAAGAATGATAGGTATGCAAGTGATGTTTTCACTTAATGGGCTCGTTGGAAGTTTGTTCTTACGAAGCAAAAATTTGTTTGAGTTATTGGCGTTGGCGCATCGAGGTCGGTCATCGAATTTAATCAATTGTCTTCAATTAAACCATTCAAATGAAAAGAGCAAGTAGACTCTATGTTCCCATACCAAAAATCATTTTCCGAAACCCTTCAAATTTTACAGCGAGACTTTCAATTGTATGATTACAGGCTTAAAGCACGGCATAGGCTTGCTTCGAGCTTCACAACTTTCCACACATAGGTGATTTCCGACAAATTATCAGGCCTCCGAGTACAGGCTTGCTTCAGCTGTCGACGTCACATGAGCTCACCGATAACAGGATAATTCATCGGAAAACTATTCTTATGTATGAACATTGATTCCTTTTGGGAAATTTTCCTGTGTTTGAACATTAACTAGTTGGGGTCCATGAGGATCGATGCCTACACAGATAGGTGCGACGTCTATTTCCTATGGCCTATACACACTTGAGCTCCAGAAGCGGCCGCTCTTACATCATTTTAATCCATGACCGTAAGAGCTAGCGGGACTGAACTGTCTATCCGTGTTAAAATTGAGACTCCAAGCCAATTTATTGATGTGTCTGATCTGGTAAGAAGGCTGGGTCAAATCATAGGAAATAAAAAGTCCCGATACCCATCCCCATCATAAATTAACTCAATCCAATGGGATGTTAGAATCCCTCAAATCCTCTTAGATTTTCATCGAAGAAGTTCTGGATTGCATTCCGGCTGCAAGTCAGTCAATTCAGTGTGTCAACCTTGATAGCCTCTCACATGGGCAAATCGATTCAGATTCTACAAAACTCCTGACAATTACTTCATAACTATATTAATTCTTCTCCAAAACATGGTAGGTATGCTATCTCAGGAAACCTGCAGATAATCGTCGTCCCAAGCCTTTTCCACACCTTATGCTCCAAGGGGCTCGATCCTGTGCTACTTTATTCCCAATCTTTTAGCTTCAAATGCAACCACTTCTCTCAATACCTCATCCTGATCCTTCACTGGTTCATATCCTAATCTCTCTTTCGCCTTCTCGATGCTCCAATCAGTTCCTAGTCCTAGATACTCAATCTCTCCTTGCCGCAAACTAGGAGTTATCGTTCCGAAGGTAAAAGCCCAGTACAGCCATTCACTAAGAATAGTGAAGCCAAGGACAAGCTTATATGGAATAGATTTTACCTCATTTTCCGCGACTGGATGACCTGCCATAGCGACAACCTTACGTGCGAAATTAAAATATGGCATGCTCACTCCATCAGAAATGAAAAATGCTTCCCCATTGACTTTCCCACTGCCACTCTTTTGAGCATTGTTTCCGTCATAAGATTTGGAATCAATATTGGCTTCACTAACTAAGGCTTTCGCAGCCAGAATGTGTGCCATGGCGGCACTTTCAATGAAAATAAATCCAAACTTTCTTTTGTTATCTCCAACTTGCATTCTATGTTGGTTTTTCTTGATAGCGTTCAATAAAACACCCGTACTAAGGCTCTCCTTCCCGTATAAACTGGGTATACGAAGAGTAGCCGTATACAAATTTGGGGGATCATTTGCGGCAAGAACAGATGCATCGGCCAAAGCTTTGGTTTTCGAGTAAGTGTTGGCTTCTTTACTATTTTCTGTCAACAACTTTGCGATGTCCTCAGTGAGTCTGATACCTGATTTTTGAGGTGTGTTAACAAGAGTTGAATCCGAGCTGGTGTAAACGAATGCCTTAACAGATCGATTCTTAGTTGCACATTCAAGAAGAACCCTAGTCCCCTCGATATTCGTCTTGCGGAGAATCTTTGCTGAATCCGTGTGTCTTGGAGAAACAGTGTGAATGATGACTTCTGGATTGATTTCGGCCAGAATGTCAGTTACATGTTGATGGTCGGTTATGTCTCCTTTGTGATAAGTGACGTTTGGAAGGATATTCGTCTTGGGGTTTCGACTAATGACATGGATTTCTGATGTGGTTGTTGTGCTTAAAAGTTTGACAATATGAGATCCAAGGTACCCGCAACCTCCAGTGACAAGCACGACACCTAGATCATTGGGAAGGGACATATTATAGATGAGAAGGCTGTGAGCGAGAATGATACAACTTCAAGAATGGCTAATGATAAGCTTGCTTTTAAATAGAAGTATTGTGTGATAGATATAATCAATAAATATAACAACCAACATGTTGGTCCCGCAAAAACTTACTAAATGAATTGTTTGTCTTCCTGCAGTGAGATGTGGAATATTAGTGGACATATCACCATATTCAGTATTGTAATGGTGTTGATCCATTAGATCACCTTGTCATATCAATGAATTACTAGAAGGAGCAGGACAGTTGAAGGTTCTGTTCTTCATCGAATGTAGACGGTATTGAATTGATTGAAGTGAACAGGACATGAGATTTGTAGCTAATGGTAAACGACACTTACTTGATACCTAGGGACCGGATGTATTGGACATTTTGTACTCTGAACCAATCATCCGATTCGAAAGTTGTGATAAAAAAGAATACCGATTGAGGAGGTAGTGACCTAGTAGATACATGATATAAGCTTACTAGAGGCTTGTTACCTATTTGGTCATGAATACGTACTCGTGCTGTCAGAAAGTATGCAACTCCGACGCTAGATGCACATACCACAAGATGGTAAACTACAAGAGGACTAACCTGGTTTTCATAGCGCCGGAGTTGTATACTTTCTGGCCGTACGAGTATATCAACTGTATTCATGGATCATACTAAACCTTAGTTATCATCAGAAAGGGCAAAATCATTAACGAGCTCGAGTATCAAGGAGATGATTCCGAAGTATATCTAGCGAAGGATTTGGCATTTGGCGTAACATCCATATCTTCAGTTGTGGTTGTACTCTGTGTAGGTATTTACGAAGTACGAAGTATCCACTCGAGTGGTGGCTGGGTAGACTCGGTAGAATCGATCTTCGAGAGCTGGGCCCGGGATACTTTTAGGTTCGTCGGCCGAGAAGATTCCAAGATTTCTCAAATCACGTGATTTTGACTTGATCAAATTTATTTCTCATGACTACCTTCAATATCGACCAACAACTTCCCATAGCAACCTTCGTCGCATTACATCGTCACACTCTATTCCACACTTTTCTTTGGAATGGCAAAAAGGATATTCCCAGGGTTAGTTTCCTACTCACCACAGGCAATATCAAAACCATTAGTCGGTCTTAAACTTAAACATACCGCACAACATATACCAGCTCCATGGGAACGGACTAAACCTGTAAGTCAGCACCATTTACTTGTAGCTGCATATTTCGACGAAACATGGACGCAAAAAGTTCTTGCCGATGAAAAAATTGGTTTCCTTGCAAGGAGATATCTATTCAACCCTCGATTTGAGCCTACACTTCGAGAAAGAATCCCTAATAAGTACGCATTTCGTATGGATTGGCTTTTGAAGCAACTTGCAGACGAGCAAGACAGTTTCTCAATGGATCCTTTCGAGGGTGAACCTGAGTACAATGTTCATGCAGATACCGGAACTGTTAGAACAATTGTCGAAAGAAACAGGAACAGTGCATATATCCCGATAACATCCCAGCCATTCGTTGAGCTCAAAAGGTCCCTGCTTCGTAAGGTTGAAAAGGAATTTCCTCCAAGTAAGATTGTAGGAAAGAAACCCGAGGGATGGTTGCGCACTTGGTCAAATCTCCCGGAGAGACCCTCAAAGCTTTTCTCCTTTCCAACGGGAGGACGCCCGAATGACGTTCTCAATGATCTAGAAGATATTAGAGTCAGGTTGGAAGGAATTGGCCCTGCTCGAGTTAATGGTTTCAAGCTGATGCACTTCAAGACGAAACGCTCCACAGAACAGCATGACGAGACCATTATTAAATATTATCCGTTTAAGGATTGTCTGGAGGACTATCAAAACCGCCCTCTCTCCAATCAAAAATCATGAGATTCACTCAACACGGGTGATTCATCAGATGACAGGCTTATTTTCTGGGCTGTGCTTAAATGTTCAGTGAACTATGGGAGCCTGATGATTAATTATCGGCCAAAGACTTTCGCGACACCTAGAAACAGCTTCAAATGTTGATTTTGGTCCCTTACATTGACCCAATTATACCACCATAAACTCTGGTATTTTCAACCATGAGTAATTGAGTCAATGATCAAGGTGCTCGGAATTCCTGAAAGACCTGACATGATACGTCGTTATCATGACGTGAATCCTGTTTCAATTTTCAGCACGTCCGGAATATTGGGTTCAGAGAGCGGCAGCGCTGAAAAGACACTCGAATGGTGATAAGAAGAGCGAGAGGCGTATGATGTTGTATCATATTATGATTCACCTTATTTAACAAGCAAGACATCCAGAGAACCCTTGATACTCATACAACTGGCACCGATGGGACCCAGCTTCGTTTTTACTCATCGTGGTAGATATGTGCAAAACTCATCTTCGCAACTACTACCATTTTTAAATTCCTATGTTTATTCTGTGTTTGTATATGTTGATGGTTTTTCCTTTGTCATCGGGAGTTAGACTGCCGGTTTTGGCAGTAAAACTTTTCTAACAATTCCTTTGTACTTGTCGAGATTGTAATATGTGTCGATTGATTACCGGAATACCATACCTCTTTGTTGACCAGCTCACAATTTAAGCTTCGTTGCTTCAATTGCATTTCCGATTCATTTGTTGAATTTGTTTCGCCCTCTAAAAAGTCCATTTTGTTTTGAGGTAGTATCAGAACAATCTTATAACCAATAAGCCGCGCTCCACAACTTCAATCTAAACGCCACGATGCTTCCCCCAGACACGGAAGATGGCCAGAGAATATGGAATGATTACAAGGGTGGCAATCACTGTGGACATCAAGACCAGAACAGTCCCGAGATACTCCCTAATTGTCGATGTTGGTCCAATTGGGTATCCGACAGAGTTGCCCATCTCGAACAGGACCTAGATCGAGTTAGGGGAGAGGTCAACTTCAACCCACCGGCAGAACTGTCGCATTTGCAAGAAGAGCTTGAATCATCAAGGGCGAGAACAAGATCAAGAATTGCTCAAGAGACGCAATATCGTGATGAAAGGGATAGGCATTTCAACCGACTATTAGATATGCAGCGACAAATACAAACCTGCGCTGCTGATCTTGAAGCTGCTCGGGCTCCAGTGGGACATAAAGTAACGCTCAATAAAAACGTAACACTTGAAGAGTTGTTAATTGTGGTGCGGCGAGAATTGATATTTCGGGAAGAGAGAGAGCGAAGTGGCATTCCTCGAGAGGAAGTTGAAGCTATACGTTCAGACTTGTATAAACTATGGCAACTTGCTGAAGCTGCCGCTCGAGAAATTGGTGTTCATCTCAAGGAAAAGGATCTTCTCACCATTCAAGGATATATTGTCGCATCCGTGCAGATGATCAAAGCATTGCAAATGGAGATTCAGCAGAAGGATGTGAGTAGTGATTATGTCATGTTTTTGCAACAACGAAACAGAGAGGGGGCGAGAGTGATCAACGAGATGGGGGAACAACTGAGAAGCGTGTGGCAAGGGAATATGCCTGGTGTTGGTGTTGTACCCGGCAATCTTGCTACTGCGATAGGAGCTGTCAATGTTGCGCCGCCAATAGACTTTAAATCGTTCAAAGAACTTATATGGGGTATATATCTTGGACTCTTCAATTCTGAGCGAAACCTTACAATAATCATAACGGATCGTCAGATGGAAGTACCAATATGGGAACCTGCACCTATTCGTATAGACTCTGAGAACATAACTTATTCTAACAAATGGGAACTCTGTGCACAACTTGTTCGAAATGAGATTCAGAGATTCTTGGAACGAGTATGGCAACTCTACTTATACATTCGCGAGAAGAACGTGCCAGGGAGTCAAGAATACTGGAATGGGCCATATGATGACGATCACGGACGAGCAATCCATGTGCACGAAGCCATGAAAGCTGTCGAAGGGCGAGGACTTATGGCACAAACTGAACTAAAACTTGTACGCCAATATATCGAGCCTGCTACCGATGCGGCATACAAAACTGATTTGGAGGAACGTATTGATCGACGATATCCAATTTACCGGGACCTACAAGCCTCAATTAACAATCTCACTCAAAGAATCACAATGTTTCGACAAATACCTCCTTCATGGCCCGAGCAGCACGAACGCGATAACACCGCCTTGTCGCCCAAAAAGAGTTTTGATTTATTAGCTTTGATGCTTTCACGTATTGAAATGGAGTATCTAAGCATCCGATTGATCCAACTTATCCAAACCACGAATAATTACTGGCACTTAATTCCTCGAGATGATCCTGATTTGGCTCGATATATGTCCAATGAGATAAGTCGAGCGCATGGAATACAGGTAGCTTGTGAAGCCGAATTAACACGACCATCTGAAATTGCGCCTCCACCTGCATATCCAGGAAAGATGCTACCCCCACGCCCTGCGTACCAGCCTTATGGAGACCAGATCATCCCCAAATCAACATACGACAATAACAATCAACAGCAAAACAAGAATGAGAAAAAAGGGAAAGGGGGGACCAGTAAGGAAAAAAAGGATAATGAGACGAAAGTGAGAAGCAATATCAACGCTCTGGAAAAGGCCCTGGACAGCAAAAAGATCAAGTATGGCCCAAAAATGGCAAGAAATACAAAATCAAATTTTGCAAATGCTCCTAAAGACGCCTCACCGGATGAGAAATTACAATTGGAATTGAACAAATTGCATGAATATAGGAAAAAGTTGGAGGGAGAATGGACTAGCAATGGGGGAGGAAAGGTCACCAATGTCAAAGGGTATAAGACATAATCTTGTAGTTCATTGATTTGGCATCGCGATCTGCTGACGAGATATTTATTGTTGTTACATAGTCCTTGAGTTTAGACCATTGAGAGATATCTAACTGATTATTTTATCTCCATCTGGTCCAGTCTCATCCTTAGCTAAATCATGTTCCTTCAATAATGTCGTAATCTCATCCGCACCCCAGAGGTGATGGTAAATGGTGCCATCCTTGTTCTTTCCCACTGTCGCAAACTCAACTGTATCAACATTAGCAAAGAACTTTCAATTTCGATAAAATTCACTCACTCTTCTCACTGCTCAACTTTGTAGAATCCATAGTCTTGCTCAACACCTTGACCGCCATTCCACAAGCCTCCTTCAGATCACAGTCCTCCTTGTAGTCCTGCTTCAACAAACTCTGAGCACTAGCGTTATTTGCACCAACACTTGTAGCCTTCCATCCTCCATAGTTACCACTAGGATTGCTCTGGTATAATTGGAACTCTCTCTGTGGGTCGTAACCTGCATAGATGAATGAAACACCAAAGGGACGAAGACCACCATGTTGAGTATAACCTTGTTTCAAATCGCATAATCGACGTACAAGTTGTTCACAAGGAATATCTTCGTTGTAGGTAAGGAGATATCGTTGAGCAGCTTGGCGTGCGTAATTGATGAGGATGTTGGCATCAGCTGTCATACCTGCTACTGCGCAGATCATATTGCTAAAAACATGTCAGAAGATTCTATAATGAGATTCAAACAACAATTTGACATACTCGTTCAAGATGTAAAGCTTCTCAGCTGAAGTATCCTGCTCCAACAACTTGCTAGTAACCTTTCTTTCTGCTGCTAATACGATTCCATCCTTTGCTAATATTCCCAATGCTGTTCCTGCATGAGAGATAGCCTCGAGAGCATATTCAACTTGGTAAAGACGTCCTTCTGGGGAGAAGATGGTAGTCTTCGTAAAAGTCAGCTAGGTATCTGGGAGCTGTGGGTTATTTAGAGCTTACTCTTGAATCGTATCTTCTGGACATGATTGCGATTTATCGAGATGGGTATTTATTTGTTTGAAAGGAGGGGTATCTAGAAGAAAAAGACGAGAAATAACTACGCCCAATCTTCGATATGGTTGTAGAATAATTGGAGTTAAAATAACCTCTTTTCGTTGACAGCGATGTTATTATATCTCCAAGCTCAACTTGAACCTCATATTGGAGCTCCAGGCACGACCCGAACCACGCGTAGTAGTGCGGAGCTTAGCGCCAGATTCTGTTGGCCTTACAGCCTCGTATCACAGCCTCACGCTCATTTTAGCCTCACATATCATTTGAATCATAATTTTGTGTCGATGTCATTCTTCCTTCCAATGCGCCGAACAAGATTTTGATTTCACAACGACGAGAATTATGAGATACTAGGTAACAGTATTATCTGGTAACTTACACAATTGCATACAACTTTTATGCCAAAAGAATGTTGAAATCAACTCACAAACCAACCCTTCCACCTCCTTTACCACCGGGATGGACTGAGCATAAAGCTCCCACAGGTAAGACTTTTTTTTACCAGACGTATCATAGCTAATGTGCAAAGGGCATTCTTACTACTACAATGCTGAAACAAAACAATCTACATATACGCGACCGGCACCAATAGTGATACCACCACAACCTGTTCCAGATCCAATTCAAAGCTTTCTTCAATATCAGTCTGTTGGGAATTCAATACCAAGTGCTGGACCGAATTTCAACAGTCTTCCTTCTCGAGATCATGGACAGACTCAAGGAGGTAGAGGTGGCTCACAGGGTCACCGAGGAGGTAGAGGTGGTCATGAACGTTCACGGGAGAATCGACCACAGCCAAATGACAAGCCAAAGTCGCGTTTTCCCATTCCAGGATGCGAACCTTGGATCCTTGTACATACTAAATATGGAAGGAGGTTTGTTTACAATACTGAGAAGGATCAAAGTTTTTGGCGGATACCAGATAAACTCAAGGATGGCATTTTGAAGCTGGATCAGTTGAGAATACAAGAAAAGGCAGATTCACTTTCGAAGGATCAGAATACCGAAGAAAATTCCAAGGCTTCTGGGCCTGCGCAAAGGCCAGGGATCAGCGATACGGCTGCTGAGGTTTCGCATCATGATGGAGAAGACAGCTCTGAATATGAAGAAGTGGAGGTGACAGATGACGAAGGAGAAAATGATGAGGACGTGGAAAATCCTTCGAAACGTCAACGAACCGAAGAACTCAATCCTGACGAACCTGTTGAGTTCAATGAAGACGATATCGCATACCAGCTCGCAGCCATGGGACAAGAATACGGATTAGATCCCGGAGAATATGATGATGGCAATATGGATGATTGGGAACCGGGAGCAGAGGGATTGGAATTGTCATTGGAAGATTCAGCAGCTCTTTTCAAAGACTTGCTCAATGACTTTGGCATAAATCCATACTGGCCGTGGGAGAAATTGATTGAGGATGGGAAAATTGTGGAGGATACTCGTTACACAGCTCTTACGAATATGAAATCGCGACGGGAAGTATGGGACGAATGGTCAAAGGAAAAAATTGCACAACTTCGAGAACTACGAGCCAAAGAAGAGAGGAAGGATCCCAAGATTCCATACTTGGCGTTCTTGCAAAAACATGCAACTCCCAAATTGTATTGGCCAGAGTTCAAACGGAAATACAAAAAGGAAGCGGAAATGAGAGACCCATCATTGTTAGATAAAGACCGGGAAAAGTTTTACAGAGAACACATCAATCGACTGAAACTTCCACAATCGAATCTAAAATCCGACCTTTCCACACTCCTGAAGTCTCAATCTCCATCTGCCTTGAATAACGCGACTCTTATCTCTCATTTGCCGGCAACTATACTTGGGGACATACGATACATTTCATTAGATTCAACCGTAAGAGATCCTCTGATCGAAGCTTTCATCACCACTTTACCGCCACCACCCGAAATCGCTACTGTAGAAGAGAGTGAGGAAACCACCAGGCAAAATTTGGAAAAGGAAAAAAGACAGAAAGCATTAGAGGAAAGAGAAAGAAGAGTAGCGGAAGAGAAAAGGAAACAGCAAAGAGCTTTGGAGTTCGGAAAGGGTAGACTAAGAGATGAAGAGGCGGAGATACAACGTGCCATGAATGTCTCTAAAAGAGGCCTCTTAGGACATTTGAATGGAGGGGATGTAGAGATGTAAAGTCAGAGATATTGGACTTTCAGACATCAATCTCGAACTGCCGAAACTAATTAATATTGGTGGATTTGGTCTAAATGATCATACATCAACGTCTTCTAAATGCCCGTCTGGTCCTTGATACATTGCTTCCTTTTTGGCTACCATCTTAAATCCACGACACACTCTACAGTCAAACATGCAAATTATTGCTTGCTGCATCCCAATTTCTTCGTTCCCATCTATCAAGTCAAGAATCACGACTCCTTTGGTAGGAGCCACAGGTGCGATTTAGTGACTTTCGTTCGTTTCTCAGGGAAGAAAAGCGTTGCTGATTTCTGATCTTCGACCTAATGAGGTAGTCCCTTTGCTATTCAGAGAACATCCCTTGATATTCACGCTTATTTCATCTTCCACTTTCTCAAAATCAAATATTTGCATCTCTTGTGATCAAACTCCTTTTATCTCCTCATCAAACACTACATTATCGCATTACGATTATTACAACATCATACATAATCTTACAGCATTATCACTACCTAGCTTCAAATTTACTGCATCAAGTAAAATATCATTGTGAGCCATTCTATCAGTTAGTCTAACTGTTTCACTCCGATCCACATCATGGATTTCATACGTCGTCTGTTTGCTGCCTTGACAACTCTCCTCAGTCTTGGCTCTGTCCGTGCATTGTGTTCATTGCCTTCATGGTCAAGTTATCAGCGCTGCTTGTCACAGCTCTTTGGCATGTAAACCAAAGTGCTAATTATTCAATAGGTGAAGATCGTACCGGTATACTCTACCAAGTCTGTCGGGGCTTGGCAGCATACCTAACCACCCAAACTGTATTATTTTTCTCATATGTTGAGGTGATATGTATCGCTGGGTCTCTTGGGAATTTCTCGTCGAATACATAAGGAAGCGATGGTCACATAAAAGAGGGTTGTGCATCACTGGCAGCGGATGAGTTACTACAGCAATTTCTGTTGATTTTGATCATCATCAGCGAATAAGGACTTCAGGTTCCGGAGTGTTTCTACACTTTGAATTTCCATATTTGCATATTAAATTTCGGTTCTGCTGCTTAGCACTTGATTCTTGCTTGTCCTTTCCAATATCACATCGAGTTTTGCTGCATACAACCTGACAAGGTACAGCCAATAGCTGTCTGTTCAAGCCATACCTCTCAATTGGGGGCCAGGCTAATTCCCGTGCCATTTGCTGACAACTTTCTACAGATTATGCATGTAGATTGAGGCTGAGGCTGAGTATTATCATATTTCCCACCTTCAATCATTTATCTTCGAGAACATCCTCTCGTTTTGTAATATCTTGTTTGGCTCTTTCTCTATCAATATTTTTAGTGCTGTGGAGTGATGAGACTGGGTGGAAACGGGTGCTGTTGAGCTTTTTGGTATGTCTCATATTCTTGGTGGTATAATAGCGCAGGAATTGATTGTTGCAACAAGGCTGGCAGTTAGATTTCGACGGTTGCTAATTTTGAAGTTTTTGAAAACAAGTCCGCGATCGAAAATTCGTCCTTCGAGTAAATATACGATTGTTTACACTTCAGCAACAAAGACGTGCGACAAGTGTCTACCTGCTAACTAGCCTTCTGGTTCAAGCGCTCACGATGCCTGAAAATGGCAAGAGGGAGTTTGAGGGAGATGAAGTGTCCCTTTCTGATGGTGGAAATGCGTATGCGCATGTAAATAATGAAGATGGTGACTCTCATGGTTCGTTGACCTGCTGTTGCTCGTCCTGGAATTGTCCTGAACGGTCATGTACTCACGAGTATAGAGAGCAAGAAGCCCTGTAAGGCATATCAGCACGGTCACGCAAAGGTCAAAACTGGCTGCAACACTTGCAAGTATGCTATTCAAAATCAATACTCCGGAACATCATGAATAATGTATGATAATAAAGCCAGACGAGTCAAGTGCGATGAAACAAAGCCAGCTTGCATAAAATGTCAAAGAATCGGGCGGGTCTGCAATGGATATCCAGCTTTGGACGAGCGATGGAAGCCTGAAAACCATATGATAGCCGTCTCAGCATTCGGCATGTCTGCAAACAACGAGGTAGCTCTACAGATTATCTTTCCTTCTTTGATATGCAAATTGATGTCTTCTAGCGTTGCGATACCGGTACATATCCCTTAGCAAATGAAAGAGACTATAGATTGGAAGATACAACCCCTAAGTTGCCATCTATCAAAGAACAACTACTTGAGGATGATTCGGGGAGAGACTCACAAATGCTAAGTCGTAAGTAACTCCTACCTGATCTTTTCACTCCATCACAAGAACCATTTTGTATTTATAACCGCATTCCAGTTTCATCAAACTCGTTGTCTGGAACGTTTGGGCAACCCCAACCTGAGTCTCTTGTCCAAATATATGACCTCACAGGGCCTACAAGTAATAAAACACCTCCCCATACATTTCCACGCCAGGGTTCCACTCCCGAAGTATTTCAGTCTCAAGCGTGTAGTCATCCTGGATGTAGCAAAAGATTCAATGATCCTTTTCAACTCACGAGACATGAAAAGTTACATCTGCGCGTTGGAATTTCTGGAGAGAAAGAGTAAGATTGCATTACTACTGTAAAGATTTGACTAATGTTCCGTGTAGTTCTACACAATATATAGTCGAGCCTGCGACCGATGAATCTTCAAGGCCCAGAAACTTAGAATACACGATCTTAAACAAAGCGACTGCTGATCCGCTTGCATCGGTAGACCACGGTTCCATGTCGGCCCATTCTTCTGATAACAATGGATATCAAATAGAGATTAATGGCTCAGCCAGTGCCGACTCAATTACAGCCGGGCACCCGAAATGTTTATATTGTGATTATGAGCCAAGCGGAGGTGATGAGTGGAAGATGGGTAACTTGATACGCCATATCAAAGGAAAACATCTCATCAAAACAACTGACAGACTGCATTGTCGTATGAATGAATGCAAAGCCACATTTACCAGATATGGCAATCTGAAAGCTCACCAAGAACATATCCATGGTGGTATCATCCAGTCCACGGGAAAACGCCGGCGGAGAAATATGACAGAAGACGGGATCGGAAGCACAGAAAAGAACAAGATCGTTGCGAAAGAAGCAGTGAATATCGCCGCAGTCGATGTAATAGATTCTGAAAACGAAGAAATGCAAGCCATTCAGGCTCGATCGCTGGAATCTTTCGAAAGTGACAAACGGTATCAAAAGAGTCATCGTGGTGAGGAAACTTTCCCCCACAAAGATCATTCATTGCATCAGTTGGGGCACTATTATAACCAGGAGGCTGAGATTTTCGCTGCCTCTACTCGGTCTCACGATGATCAGATCATTACGGAGCATTTGGGGAGACCAGGCTCTTCTGTCTTCGCAACTGACTTAGAAGTGCCATCTAACTTCAAAAACAGCTACAACGATATGGATTCATCGGGAGTGGATATCAATCAACACGATTTGTTTCATTGGGATGCAAAGTCACTCGCTTCTGTGCAGACGTACCGAGATAGCGGATTAGGCTCAAGTCTACCCTCCCAGGGATCTGCCTCAATCACTCAAGACCTTCCCCAGGCAGCGAAAGAAGAGATTCTAACAATTATCTACACCGATTCTGAGCTCCAGTTGAGTCTTTGTAACATTGCTTCCAAGATTTCCAAACCACGATTCATTCGGAATATCCGACGATTACTTCAGTTTTTTATTCTTGAACTCCGAAAAACTGTTACTGATACTCGGGAAAATGATGCCGTCAATATCCTTGAACGACATGCACCATGGTTTGCAACTAGGCTTTTTGACTTTTCAAATCCTAATCGAGACTCGGACTCACGCGCCATGGCTTCATATCTAGACCAGCAAATCGATACAAAATTGTTTGTTGAGCAATACTTGGCATCGAGTCTGGGCACTAAGATTTCTGACGCTCAGGTAAGAGACGAACCGGAGAAAATAGATGCTGCTGCAATGGAAGTTGAAGATTTGATCGATATTGATTACTCAAACTTTCCAAATCTAGAACACATCAAAAGGTTCATCAGCGGAGGCTCGGCTTTTAAACTTCTGCGCCTGAACCTCTTGGTGTGTTCTAGAATTGAGTTGCCCGACACTTCTTTGGGAACTCCAAGCGTTCACATTGAGCCAAAAAGCCCCTCACACCTCGAAACCAACCACTTCAGTAATTTTCAACGGTTTAGATCAATCTTGGCAAAGCAAGCGAGAATCGTGTTAATTGTTCAGAGGTTTCTCAAACTCATGAGAGCTCATTCTATTGTGCATTCATATTCTGCCGTAGATCAAGCCAAGCCCGATATCTTCGAAAATGTATCAAATTCTTCTGATAACCATTCGTCGAATGAAACATTAGAAGCATCTCCAAATACATCGATCACTACTTCTGGTGATATTGAGTCTGACACAAACGACACGGACTACGATTCTGACGACCTTCCGGATGATCCAGAACTATCTGCTTCAGCAGAAGAACGAATAACAAATCCAAAGGCCTACTTTGACAAGTTGAAATATTTGGAACAGCAAGTTTTCAACAATACAGGACTTTTTATCCACAAAACTGGCGATTCTACTGGACCAGCCCAGGATGAAGCTTTACTTTGCCTTCCAGAACCAAATTACCATAAATACCAGACTGGTTATTGTTTGAATATCATTAAATACTCCGACTCCGAACTTCTTTTGGACCTGCTTGTATGTCATAACAGGGCCCACACGGCTGGCAATAATCTTACCGCACTTCAAGAGAATGATTATTGTGCAAAGAATATCTCCTTGTTAGTACAAGATCAGCAGAGGGCTGGGGTTTTGAGAGTCATTCAGATTGAGATATACAGACTATATTAGATTTATTAGGACTTTTTAAAGAGTTCATGGGTATAATATCGGTCAATTTCACTTCACTTCCTTCTTCGTACAACAGATTCCCCGCGGAAGAGGCCGATCGACTAATAAAAGAAATTGACGATTCGTTAAATCTAACCCAGAAATGCCTCGAGATCTTGACTATAATGTCGATCTTAACATTGTCTGATATGGCTTGTCGACCATCAGATGGCTTTGTTTGGCAACTTACTACTCAAGTCATAGAACTCGCAATTTTATCATACGCTGGCGCTCACATTCAACCCTTCGATACAGAGTTGGTGGGGAAGGATATACCATCATTCCATATTCCACAGAAGTTTAAATATCATGATAGAGCTCTGAATCTACTTGGAGGTCCTTCTGGAATCTCAAATTTAGGTGGATTGGGTGTCGAAATATGCCGTAGACAGTTACAGTGTATGGACAGGTTCTTAGGAGGGAAGCAGCCATGGGTTTTCCATCCCTTCAATCATGGCCATCCTGATCATAAGACACGTTTGTTTCTATCATCAACCATTGAGGCTCTAACAGATCTTTGGGGTCCGTCTTGGTAAATTATGAGAAGCTCTTTGACAAATAAGATCAAGCAATATGATATCGGAAATGGTGCTATCATTCCATGGACAACACAAAACGGCGATAATGAAACCAATTTGGTCCCTATGAACTCAGAGGTCTTTTGTCATTGGATACCATTCAAGACTTGGAATGAGGAAGAAGTTGATGCAAACCAGGAATCGTTACCGAGACAACACTTTTTATCTTCCGACATCTTATTGATTGGCGCACCCAGTGATTATGGTCTTATCGTCAATAAAAAGTGTGTTCAGTCTCCCGAACGCATCTTACGTATTAAAAGTCGATTGTCGGATCAACAAGCTCTTCGCTCACCTAATACTTCTCGTGCTAGACGATTTGTCGATTCACATGCAATACAAATACAGGGAAGTGCAATGGGATTTATCTCCGGATCAGGTCAAGTAACTTATAAACGGAGAATTGGGCATACAATGAAGGACGCCTTAGTGGAGCGATGGCGACATGGTCTACGAAATCCTCTTGATCTTGAAGCTTACTCTGGAGTTGAGGTATCTCTCTGTTCTCGTAATGCTCGTCGTCGACGATTGTTAAACATTCTCGCGTCTGATACTATGGTCAATTACCTTCGTGCCATTTCCTTCACATGGGATAAAGGTGTCTGCGAGTCTTCATATCTCAAAGCATTACGTTGTCCAAAGTCATTTCGAAAATTTTGGAAAGCACATAAAGATTGGCAGACCAATATTGGTGATGCAATTTCCAAGTGTTTGGATGCACTAGAAGAGACAGGCATTGATGAGGATAATCGAGAATTAAGTGCTTTTTGGGTTGAATCTTTTGATGCGGAGGGGGATTCAGATGGGGAAGATGATGACGATTCTATTGTGCAGCCCGACTCGCTCAAAAATAGTACTACTGGCGGCGGAATTCAATCAACAGTACAAAATAACATTGCAACCGGACTTCCAACTCCACCAAATAGTTTAGTCTCAGTGGATTTGGATACTTGCAATTTTTTTGAGGAATTGATCGTTACATTATTTCGATCCGAACATACATGGACAGGATTTCTAGAGGACTCTGAAGAATCATTAACCATGGTAGTTGTTGGAAAGGAATGTCTCGATTTTCACGACCAAGATGGATTCGGACGCTGTTGTTCCCTTACAGCGAAGACCAAAGGATATCCTGTTTTACAAACCTCACTACAGATTAATGAATCACTACTTTCCAATTGTTCTGCAAAGCTCAAGCAAGAAAAGGTGGACAGTAGTAAGAAGACTATCTGGAATGCACACGAATTAAAGAGGGGAACAACATTTTGTTTGGGTAATCATGGAATATTGGAAGTTATATCTGGGTCTTCCTAATTATGCCCAACGGTAGTAGAGTGGAAAGGAGTAAAAGGTGGGAAAAGTGTTGGGGGGACATGGAAAGAGGTAAAAAATGTAGGTGTCAACGAAAACTTGCTTGGAAAGAGCGTTGAGAAACATCATAGAGAGTTTATAAGAGGATGTTTGGAAGTCAAGCCACTGCCAGTTTTGGTTTTGAGTAAAAGTACAAAGGTCAGGTTTGGAAAAGATTAGGTGAAGGGAGGAAAGTCAAATCGCTATATAAATGCTTCATATTTCTTTCCATCTCTCATGGCAACATTCAGGTCTCATTTTCGTTCCCTATTCCTTTCATTTTTTCCCTTCTCCGAATGCAATGCTCCATTGTTGAAGTGAAGTAACTCGATTTTTTTTTTAACCACATGAACTCATCGCAACAGCGGCAGATGTACCTTGGATATCAGGAAGGGTCTAAAGATTTTATATTAGGTATCAGAACTCACTTGAAGCGTTTGTGTATGTAACCTATTGTTGAGATGTGTTGATTTTCTAAATTATTTCCCAACACATTCACTTGCTTATTTGCATCTCATGTATCATTTGAGATTCATGAGCCAAACTCAGTACTTTTAAAGATCCATTACATCCGATATTTCACCCTAATCCTATTCGTGAATTCACCATCCCGAGAGTCAGAGGGTTGAATCCACATAAAAGAAATTGTTAATAATAAGGTTGTTATCATTACTATGATCATTCGCACAAGTTCAGGCTTCACCTCATTATCAGCTATTGTTCTGGTAAGCTCTTAACTTTCTAAGATCTTTGGTAAATGCAAAGGTTGGCATAAAGATATCTTCTATCAAAGGGAATTTTGTACCTTCTTAGATTCAATCTCACTACCTATTTACATACAACGACTATATTTCACCCTTCTTACGTTGTGGTCGCTGGTCACTTGCAATAGCTTTTTCAACCTTTCCGATTGAAAATTCCTTCCAAGAAGCTTCAGGAGGGGAACTTGAAGGTATTCTATAACCTCAAGGTCTCAGAAAGTATGTTATCATCAAATATCAATTGGATCATTAGAAATTTCTCGACACGCTATATATCTATTTCGAAATTGCTTGCGCCTACATTACAACACGAGAAAGTCAATATATTACACCAATTCAAATATGCCACCGTTTCATGGTATCCATTCTTCATCAGCTCCACAAGATATTGAGATCACCATATGCAACTCATCGACGGAGAATCGCGCGACCAAGTATAGAGTTCCTCAAACATCACCGTGGCATCATCCCTCACTCCCAGAAATTCGACCATTCTCTCTTGATCTACATATCCTAATCGACGATAAGCAAAATCTTCGGTACTACATCCTTTTACCTCCACCCAACCAGGATGTATTCAATACTTCTCATTTGCCAACTGTGTCTAGTGTCATGCCAATACGTCGTTGCTCCGGGAAGGCTGTCATCGAAAAAGTCCACAATGCTTTCGGGATTCAAAAATTAAGAGATTTTACAAGTGGAATATGCTATACCATTCTCACAGCTCGTTTCGCACCCAATGTTACCAACAGAGTTACCGCTCCCTCCATAGCTTCCTCTCCAAAGCCAACGAAGACAACGCCATACATCATAAGACCGGCCATTCAGCTACCTCGAATATTAGCAAGTGGAGATATTTACCCTCTCGAATACGGATCTCACTCTCTCCATGTTACATTCCACGATATGCAATTCAAAAAAGTTTGCAGTGAAATCCATGGTTGGTATATGTACAGCTGGCCTTGGCTTTTAAATGGTGGCGCACAGAACTCTGTACGTATGAAAGCACAAAAGGATTGTCAATTACTAGCTCAACAATGCCGTTGGAGAAATGGAGGATGGTTACTTGATCAACATATTCAACAATTCTATTGTCCTAATGGATTGTCGTTCGCAGCATGTTCAGGTGACTGGGATGTAACAGCTTATCAGTCCAACGATAAGCCAGTCATCTCTGCGGATCCAAATGATTACATTGAAGGGTCATGGATCACGGATGGTCTTTATAAACGAGCCCGTATTGCACTTCGCCGTAAGTATCTGCTGGAATTTCCCTGGTTCGAACTCTCAAGCTTAAAGCGCAAAGTTGAGTATGATATTGGATTTTTGCATATGGCATGGCAATTGGTGGGATATCCATATATGCAAAGTAATAATGAGGAGAACATTCACGTCGAAACATTGCAAGATAAGGACATAATACAATTTCATAATGCGGATATATATGATTTGGTTAGGTATTGGCCAGAGGAGGATGAGGCTGTAGGAAAGCAAGGAAGATTGCAGATGAGGATTGGAAAGCAACGTCCACATATTAATGTGGATTTTGATGCTATGCCTCAAAGTTGGAGAAAGTTGATGAGCCTTGATGAATAGAGTTTTATGATCATCGCTCATGAGGAGATTTATAAAGGATGGAATTTTGGTATCAAACTTTCAGGAGCGATTTGAATTACATGAAGTATGAAGCGAGGGCACAGCAAATAAAAAGACATCGTGAGTTTGGAATAATTGGAGGTTGAATTGGAGGAATTAATCTGGGTAAAGCGCAGTGGACTATGGAACTTTCGTTACAGTTTCTGAACGGTTCATGACTGTCATGACTTACATAGAAGAGAACAGCATTGGTGGCTTGGAAACTTCCACACCAATGACTTATAGAGTTATAGAGCCATAGAAATAGAGAAATCGATGTATTAGAACTAGTCGAAGGCCATTTATTTATTTGAGTGATCCACCAACTCTGTATCTTTCTCATCCGGTTCGATAACCTTGATTACTGGGCCTTCAATCTTCTTGACCTTCCTCCCCTCCCACCACATCATGATTCCTGCGAATAAGCTAACAGCGCACCCACAGGCAATAAATGTACCAGTCGCCCATGAAGGTCGATTGATTCTGTTATATCCCCACATGAACCCAGCCAATACTCCTTGAAATAAAGTATTCAAAACCATCATCCAAACCACAAAGCTAAGTTTCCATAAGCTAGTAGGAGGTGCGACTTCCCCGGTAAAAGTGGCTGGAATAGAAACACCATTCTCTTCATTTTCATCCCTTAGCGAATTTGTATACCAAGCCCCTGGTCTAAACCAACTTTCATTTTGCTTTGCCAACCTCTTCGTTGCTTTCTTATTCTTCCCAAATCTCACCTGCAACAAATTCCATAAATCTCTAAATCGCCAGGGCGCCAAGCCAAATCCAGTGACGCAAAATAAAGCATTTAAAATCTGTGAATCAATTTCCAACCATTTCTTCCTAGGTGAATCATTGGAATCTTTATCGGGATGATCCATTGCTGGAGCGGCATCTAGCAGTAAGAAGAAAAGCATAGCTCCCCATGCCACAATATTCAATCCATATATCGTCATCAAGAAACCAGTAGGCGTTGTTGCGAATTTCCAAAATGCAGCAATACCATGTTTAATGGCCGGACCCCAACCATGTCGTTCTTCTTCAATGACTGTTGTTCGAGTCTTTAATGAAGGTTTCGCAAATTTAGGTTCAGTTTCGAGTGCGGTATTGAAATTCCCATGGCCCACCACTGGTACAGGATTTAAAACTTGGGCATTACTTAATCGACGGGTTTGTGTACGTGATGAAGCTTTTGCGAGGACTGGTTCACCATTTAAGTCTGTCGTGACGGTACGCTTAGAATGACCATGTTCATTGAATTCGATATTTGCGCCTCCGGAAATGGGCTCGCGGAGTTCTTCCAACGTTGGAGCATAGGCTATGGCGGTGCCGGTTGCTGCCCACATCCCCAATTGAGGATTAAAATTTAAAGCTGCATCTGCTAATGAGATGGAGGTATTGCGAATGCGCCCAGAAATGCTCGATCGTCGCTCGTTCATATCCATGGTGACGGTTGTGAGTGAAGAACAATTGATGAGAAACTCGTCCGAACTAAAGATTCGACCACTCGAAAATTATCTAAATTTTTGATGATCTAATTGTGTATAATTGACCTCTCATTGTATCGATATAATAAAAATTTCGAGGAGATTGAAAGATGGCTGAAATATAACGTTTGCCATCATCTCATTCTGGGATTTAGAGTTCTCTAGCTTCGAATTGGCTGTGCCACGATCACACCGTTCTGCGTGTTAATTAGTCTTCAATCATTGTGTATGTGTCAGCACCAATCTCATTAGGGTATAGAGGTTCCCTTGGCATCCAATTCCATATGCCGTCCATAGAACATCTTATCCTCACCCTGACATGGACATGTGGTGAAATGTCGGTAGTGGAAATGAATACGCGGATAAGAATTGGTAGATCCATGACATCCCCCAAAAATCGCTTATTGTACCCCTCCAAGTCCTCTCAGCCCCTGGACCTCTGAATGTCTTAGTGGATCCACGCTCAAGCACCATCCTGAACCCCGCCGAGCTCGCGTTCATCTGTGAAAATAACATCTCACTCTACTCATCTACTTCGTAAGGATCCATTGTTCTTTTATATGTATAAGGCTACGGAGTACCCACTCGGATTCATTCCAATCAATCGGGATGGGTCTATCAATCATATATGTACCATAGTCACCCAGGCCAGGCTCGCCAGGTCCACTTTCACCAAGTACGCGTATAGGCTTTTAACACCGACATACTCCACGCATTATAGACATACTCCCCGAGCTGTGTTTATGAAACAATTGCAGATACCGTCACATATAAAATGAATACATTTTTCGAGAATATCTTCGTCATTATTAAACATGCATTTCTTGTCATAAATGAATATACACATATTCAGCTGAGAACGCTACAGTCGTGTGGTTGACTGGTGTTTTCGCTGAATGGAATGTGCGAGATCAACCGTTTATCTTTGACGTGCAGTCAAACACAACATGAGCCCAGTCTGCTTAATCTTCCCAAGCCAACAATTTTCTTTGTTTCTTTTGTAGCTTGTTCTTTATAAGCAATTCTTGTGTGTTGATCCCATCTGCATCTTTGTAATTCAACAGTTGCCGCTGAAACGTCT